GTTATGGTGCGGGTGCGACTGGAGGAAGCGGCTGGGGCCACCGGCTGCAGCGCGGTAGGACGGCTTGAGCGGCCCGGCTGACGAGGTTCGCCGTGTCCTGTGGTGCATTGGAGGCCACGCGCAGGACTGTCGGCGCTGCTGCCTGCTGGTGGCTGGCCACGTGCCTTGTGCGAGCGGCCGCTCCTGGTGCAGCAGGTGATGGTCACACAGCTGGCAGGGGAGGGCCGGCATGGAGGCCTGCAAGCCACCAAAGCCGAAAGCCGCAAGACGTGTCGCGCGCCCACGGTGCAGCGGCTGGCCCTTCAACACCATCAGGATTGTCGCAGCTCCGCGCGCCGCCGGGCTGCGCGGGGATTACTGCCGCGTGCGCGGGGCTCGCTTGCAGCTGCCGCTTCCCTTGTGACACCCCCCCTCCCACACTCACACACACACACTCACACACACAGCAACACCGCCACCACCATCACACCTGCAGCTCTGGGATGCTGTAGCCGCGGAACCTGATGCCCTCCTCCGCGTCAAGCAGGGACGTCTCCCACAGCATGCCCTGAGGGCCGCATGGGTGGCGCATGGGGCCGTGAGGGGCGCCGCATGGGGCGCGGGGGGCGCATGCGGCACGCGCGGTGCCGGCCAACCGCTGATTCCGCGGGCGTGTGTGCGGGTGCGGGTGCGGCGGACAGCTCCTTAGGGGCGGCCGCGCTTCACAGCCCCCTGTGTTCCACGAGCGCACGGCCTATGCTGGCGCTGTGCGCGTGCCCGGTGCGTACTTGCGGATGGGGCCGCCCGCAGCGCCTGCGCCGCGCACCGGGATGCCGCGCATTCCGCCAATGCACTGCTCCACAGTAACCTCCCCCAGGACCTTGCTGCCATACGTGCTCTTGATCTGCTTCAGGCGCGCCTGGTCGGGGCGGGGCAGGGATGCCGGTGCGTACGCGCACACGGGGAGGGATGGCGCGAGCGTGCAAGCGCGTCGCGGGGGTTTCTTGTCGCCCCAAGGGTGGAGTGCAGCGCCGAGCAGTCGACGCCCTTGCGCTGCGGGGGTCTGGCGCTGTCCTGCTGAAAGCAAAGGATGAACATCCCTTTATATGTGAGGCGTGATCCCTTGCATGACCACTGGACAGCCGAAACCCCAAGGGGGTTGTCTGCGTCCACGGTGTGATCTCGTGCTGACCTGCTGGTCGGGTATGGCCGCAGCTAGCACCGACTTCAGATCCCCGGCACTCGAGCTGGCAAATTGCCGGAGTGCATGGCCCAGGGCGGGGGCCAGCTGTTGGGCCCCGCGCTGGGGAAGGGCTGCAAGAAGGGATAACATGTCAGCCGATCAGCCGCAATCACGACCATTGGTACAATGGTCCTGGTCCGACATCTCGGGCACCAAAGCCATGGGCGTGCACGCTGCGCAGTCCGTGTCACCCCTGTTGTCACTCTAATACCTCTGCTCGACCGTCACGCTAGGGTTTGCAAGCTGCAGGCCCTTTGGCCCGTAGTTACAGCAATGAAACCATCCCTGAAACATCTTCCTGGTTCTTGCCCTTGCTGCAGTCGCATGACGGGCGGGATGAGCCTGCATGTGGACGCTGACCGTGTTGACCACTCGCGCTTGCGCCACGCGCCCATTGCTGTCATAGCACCGCCTCCTGCCGGCAATCAAATGAGCCTTGCCGCCCGCCGATGCCTGGGCTACAGCCGCGCCAAACTCCGGGTTGTTGGCCCCTGCCACAGGCCAAAGCGAACGCCCCAGCACTCTGCCGACACAGGGCGCCAGCTGATGCTCACAGCTGCTGCCCGCGCGCGCCATGATGCGCCTGCGATCTGCGGCCGCGCCCCCGGAACCATACTTGCAGTTTCAAGCAAAAGAGTTACTAGTTTCATTTCAGGGAGGGGCCAACCCCTTCGTTCAACCCCCCAGTGGGAGGCGGATCCGTCTCCGCAGGTGCGGTACCCCGCAGTGTGGTGGGGCCCGAAATGGAGCGGGGCCGCGACCTGCCTCGCTGGCTTGTGCGTGCGGGTGTGTTGTTGTGGGGCAGCAGGTGGAGCGGCGCGCGGCTCAAGGGCAGCCAGCAATGGGAAAAATAGCCGGGTGTGACAGAAAGTATTGACCGTGCGCCCCGTGGCGAAGGCATTCTATGGGCCTGGCAAGGAGGGGTTTGCAATACTTGCAGTGCGTGGTGGGCGCGGCGACGCTACCTGGGCCCCCGTAAATTGTCTGTACGCTGTCGCAGCTTGAAAGGAGCGCGGGGCACGTCAAGGCCGGCGCTGGTGCGCCAGCCGCGCCCCGTGGCACCCGAGCGCCGTAGACGTCCCGCAGCGAAGCAGCCTCCACAACGCACAGGCCCGTGCGACGCACAGGGGAGAGCGCGTTTCGGCGACCGCGCGGGCGATCGCGGCCAGCAAGAGCAGGACGCGCACGCTTGGCGAGGCAGGCGGGAGAAACAGGGGCGGGGTCAACGGGCCGGCGTAAGAGACCGTCTTGGAGGAAAACAACACAGCCAAAAAGCGTCGAAAGGCGCTCAAGGCAAGGCAATGTGGCCGCGACTGTGTGCCTGCTAACGGGTCGGCGTGCAGCTGTCTGGTCCTGACTGCCTGGCTCCGATACGGCTGAAAAGGCGCCGGCCGGCGTGTGCTCATAGAACAGGGCCAGAGCGCGGCCGCGGCCCACCCCTGGATGGGCGTGCGCGCAGCGCGCGAGCTGTGGCCCCGGGAAACTCTGAGAGGGGGGCTGATCACGCGCTGAACAAGCGGCATGTCCCGACCGGCGAGGCCCGTGGTCGGTGTTGCCAGAGCGCATGGGGTGCGGCGCTTGGGGCGCAGCAGGCGCGCGGGCGGGCCCCACGTTTGAGGGATTGCTGAGGAGGCGCCGCCCCTGAGGCCGCGAGGGGCGCGAGAACCGAGCCAATTGCAGTTGCCGCCCGCGGCGGAAGAAGGTAAAAGGGACGCGTCATCGCGTGCTGTTGCAAGGTGCGCTTCAGGGAAACAAAGGCGAGGACGAGCACGCCACGGAACCAAGGAATGCTGCGCTGCAGCCGCCGGGCCCGGGTGCAGTCGGGAGCCTGTGCCCCGAGTGGTCAAGGGGACGCGGCCCCGCAAGCGCGCGGCGCGCCCCCGTGCGGCACGGGCCGCCCATCATGCGCCGTGGCGCCTTGGAAGTTGCCGATGCCGCGCTGCCGACCACGCTGAGCTCGGCGCGGCCAGCCAGGGCGCAATTAACGGGCGGGGCCCGCCTGTAGCTGCCGTCGCGCCGCCGCACGCCGCTGTCGCGCAGCAGCGCAGGCAGGGGTGCAGGACGAGGCGCACCGTGCTTGCCTTCGGCAGCGCGAGGTGAGTGTGTGTGTACGTGTGGCGGCAACAATCATGCGGGTGCGGTGCCTACGCAGGTGCGGCGCGTGTGCGCTAGCGTGTGTGTGAGCTTCGGTGAGATGACGCCAGTGGTCGCACGCGCGGCCGTGTCTGTGGTGACGCAGGGCGGCCCAAGGCGGGACGCCGCGCTTCTGCAGTGCCGGGTCGGTGCACAGGCGCGTGTGCTGTGCTAGAGAGACAACAAGCATGGCGGGGCCCGCGCAGGAGCGCCGGGCGACCGGGACGGACGAATGACGCAGCCGCTGCGCTGCGCTGCTGCGCGCCGCGGTGCTGGTTGCGGGTGCCGCGGGCCGCTGCAGCGCCGGCAGGCGCCTGCGTGCTTTCTTCGTGCGGTGGTGATGGGTCGCGGGCGGCAGCCGCGGCGGCGACTCGCGGCCGCAGCTGCGCGCGAAAATCCGCCAGTGTGTGGGGCCGAGGCGCGGCCGTGGGGGTTTTGGATAGACCGATGGGCGGGTCCTGGCGGCGGCGCCCCGGGCAAGGGGGATTGAGGGGGCCGTGCCGAGGGCCTGCGATCCTGCCTGGCATGACATGTCTTCTGTGATCTGGACAATCTGACTGATTCAAGCCCGCCCAGAGGATGCAGTTGAGGCAAGGGCGTGTGTGCGGCCGCGGCCGCGGGCGCGGCGATGGCGGGCGGGCGCCGCGTTCCCGCGGGGCGCGCTGCCTGCCGCCCCTGTGTGCGCGCGCGGCGCAAAGGCAAGGTTTGTCGCCCCCAGAGGTGCGGGGCAGTGCGGATGGGACAGCACGGCCAGGGGCGCTGGCAGCGGTGGTGGGACAAACAGATGTTGCGGCGACGAGGCCGGGGCGCCGGAGGGCCGCGCGCCAAAGCCTGAACGCAGAGCCAGCATACAAAACCACGGGCGTGGGGCCTTGAGAGGCAAGCCAGCGCCCGCGGCAACAGAGCGAAACGCCTGTGACTGATCTATCCGTGACGACTCTGGGCGGCGGGGGGGCCGCCGCGACCAAGCGCCGTGGCTCCTGGCCGCGGGGGCCGCGGCAGCTCGCCTGGTGCCCGAGGGTCGCCCGGCGTAATTGTGTGTGTATATTTGTGCCTGTGTGCGAAGTGGGATACGCCAGGGTATACGTACACGGCGGACGGCGCGTGCGGGCGGCAGCGCGCGCAGCCTTCCGGCTGCGAGCGCCCCGGTCCCGGCTCGGCCGCCGCCGGTCTGTCAATCAACAACGGTGCTTGTTGTGTGTGGGGGTATGGGCCTCCGGGCGATTGGAGGGTGTGCTAAAGCCTCCGCGGGCGGCGCGGACACACCGCGGGACATGCGGGCGTGCGCAGCTCAAGTGTTGGTGGTCGCATTGCATGCCATGGGTTGCGTGTAACTAACACGAATCTAGCGCCAGTCGAGATCTGATCAAATGTGTCGTGGGCGGTCGGAAGCTGGCTCTACACGCATGCAAGAGCTCGCGCCCTTGCTGGCGCTGACTGGAGAGGGGGGCGGGGCGCCCTTGCCGTTATCAGGCCAGGCCGGACGCGTTGCGTTGAGCCGCGCTCGTGAGCGCGGCTGCGGCATCGCGCCCGCTCTGGAACTGTGAAGGCAGCGCCGCGGCCGCGGCCGTAGCGGAGCTGGTGCTCCGTGGCCGCTTGCCGGCAGCAAGTCAAGGGGTCGAGGCCGGGGGCCCGAGTGCATTGCAGCGCCGCACGCGTGGGCCATGTCAAAGCTACTGGCCGGGGCTGGGCGTGCCAGAAATCAGAAAAAAGTGGATGGGGGCCCGGGGGCGTGAAGCCTACCTAAGAGGAGGGCCGTCGCGCGCCGGCGAGCGGAGGCCGGACGCAGGCGGCCGGGTCAACAAGTTGGCGAGAGGTGAGAAAGAAAGCCTCGGCGCATCAAATCAACGGATGGGCAGTGGGGGTGGAAAGCGTCAGCTGGTGGGTGGGCGCCGCACCCTGCAGGGGCCCCGGCGCGGGGCACCAGTCGAGGAAACGTACAGCCACATTTTTTCAGAGGGGAGGGGCGATGTGCGGGCCGGGGCGGTACACCGGTTGCCACCGCGCGCGGGCATCTTCAGATCATATCTGTCAAAATCAAGCTTGAAAGGGCGACTTGCCAGTGCTCAGGCCAAAAGTGGCCACAGGCTGCAGTGGGTATGTCAGCCGCCGCATCCACAACAGACGAGGTGGCTCGACCGGCGCGCGGGACGCAGCCAGTCATTTGTGCAAAAGCATGCCGCGTGTGCGGCCAGCCAGATGCCGGGGCACAGGAGGCCAACCACAAACCACTGCCTACAATTGCAAGGAGGCGACGAGTGCGCACCGCGCGCCGCACACGGCTACCACATGCAAGGGGAAGAGGCGCTCATGCGAGCCGGCCCCCTTGCACGTCGGGCGCCCCTCAGGCAGCGGCGCACTCTGGCAGGAACCACGCCCAGTCGTCGCCCGCCAAGCCGCCCTTGCGGCCGGCCGCCAGCAGCGCAACGCGCGCGTCGCCGGCGCCGGCGATGGGCGGCACCGTCAGCGCCGCCGCGTCCAGGCGCAGCCAGCGGAGCGAGCAGGCATAGGGGTTGCCGCCCGCCGCCGCCGCGGCCACGGCCGCGTGCACCGCGCGCAGCACGTCTGCGGCGCGCGACACTGCGCCGAGCGCGGCCGCGCCGCCGCAGCCGGTCGCGGCGGCGAGCTGCAGCGCTGTCAGGGGGCGGCCCGCGAGCGCGTGGCCGTAGGCGACGCACGCGGCGGCGACGGCGCTGGGGCGGAAGCCGCGCAGCTGGCACTCGAGCAGCGACTGTTCGGCCAGGAGAGAGCACAGGGACGCCACGCCCTGCTGCTGCTGCTGCTGCTGCTGCTGCTGCTGCTTCTCCTGCTGGGAGGAGGCGGCGGCGCCCCTTTCCCGGCGGCCGCCCGCCTGGTGCTGCAGGCGCAGGAGCGCGGCGCGCAGGAAGGTCTCCGCCGTGGGACGGCGGAACGCGGCGGCGCCGTAATCGAGCGCGCGCAGCACGTCGCCCTCCGCGCGCAGCAGCTGGCGCCTCGCCGCGGCCGCGGCCGACGCACCGGCGCCGGCGCCGCAGCCCTCGCAGCCGCCGCAGGCGCACGCCGGCAGCGTCGCCACGACGGCGCTCGCGGGCGGGGCGCGCGCGCCGTGTGTCCACTTGGCGGCCAGCCACAGGCATGCTGCGCCCCGCATGAGAGCACGGGGCGCCCCCGGGCGGAGCCTCAGATCATCCAGGCACCCCACCGCTGTGAACAGCGCGTCTGCACCCAGGCCGAGCTGCGAGGCCGCTGACGTCATCCAGTTGACCAGGTTGGCACGCTCTGCGCCAGACAGGACGGGGGCGGCGCGGCCGGCGGCAGCCGCCGCCGGGGCGGCAGCGCGCTCCTGCGTGCGGTTGTGGGCACAGGGTTTGTTTGTTTTCGGAGGCTGACAGCGCGTCGGCCAGTGCTGATTTGGATGCAAGCAAGGATGTGAACCTGCGAACGAGTACTTGCAGAGGGCCGCCTGAAGCGCAGGCATGCCCCCCTCGCCCCCTCGGGCCGGGACCAGCCGGGGGCGGCCCCTGGGCCCCCAGGTGGTTGGAGCTCGTCACGGCCCGCCGGAGCAGCCGTGGCTGGGGGGCGCTGCTGCTGGGGCCCACCTCGGCCTCTCGCTCCGCAGCAAGCAGGTCGTCCAGGCCGTCGGGCGTGCACGCGGCGAGCGGCCGCGCATCAAACACGTCTGCAGAGAGTGCATCTTCGAGGCTTTCCAGCAGCACAGACTGCTCCGAAGCCTGGGAGCCCGAGGCGCTTGCGTTCTCGTCGATAGTAATGTCCATAACGGCGGGCGAGGCCTGGATATGGATATGGCAGAGAGGAACGCGGGTGCGGGGTGGATGCCCGGGCCACAACACCGTGGCCAGGCCCTGGTCAGGTCCCCACATGACACCACGCCAGTGTCCACCGCTGGCAACTCAAAGGACTCCGCAGCCCTTGGGTCACCCTCTACAAGGTCCGTCACCGACCTGCGCCCCGTGATGCCAGGCGAAAGTGATCATGGCTCGATCCTCGTGCAGGGGCCCGGTGCCTCGTTGCTGCCGGCGACTTAGAGGGCTTGCAACTCCAGTTTCACCTAATCTACACTGCCTGGTGTCTGAGGGTGGTGCTGACGGCGCGGTGTGGCGCGGCAGCGGGCACTTTTGCCCAAAGGACGCCTGTTTGCTACGTGCTGCCGAGCCCTAGTGTAATGATATCATTGGCAGGAACGTACGATAGGGGTAGCCGGGCAGGGTCCAGCGATCTTCTAGCTTCTTTCTGAGGCACGCCGTAAGTGATGCGCAAGAGCCGCGTCCAGGTCCCCTTTCACATGTCACTTGATCAAAATCTCGTCAAACATCGTCCACACACAGGTGGACGTGGTGGTCACCGGGCCGCCGCAGGATCCTGTCACTTACCAGGCCGCTATGGCCCTGCGAGGAATGACGCCCGCCGCACCCGCAGCCGCGCGTAAAGTGGTACTGATTGGTGGACGGTTTGGCGGGAGCGAGGCATGCCGTCATATGCACAGTTTCAGATGCCACAGCATGCGGATGCGACCCGACGCTTCGGCCCATGACCATGCAGGGTCTGGTGGAGAAGATGCTGCAGAGTAGGGCCCTACACAGCTTTGTGCATGAATCCCAGAGCTATCGATCACGGTACTGCTGCCAGCGACAAAGCACAAAGAATTTCAAGGGCGGGGCGTGGCAACATGACATCACACACGCTTCAGCGGTAGGGTACTGTCACACAGCAAGGGGTACGTTGCCCCTTCCAGAGTGGTGCAGCATCATAAGGTTGTCACACACACGGGGCAAGATAACACCAGTCTATGTGCATTCACATATTCGACAGCCTGCCCTGCGCAGCCCGCTCTTCAAAACATGCGCTGCAAACCCCTTGTCAAGCCACGCACATTCTCAAGCAGGGTCGGTGGTGGGCATTGTGGCATGAGACAGGCAAGGGCATGGGCGGACAAGGCATGCTGTGCTGGCTACTGGCCGTGCATGCATGGCGCTGAGTGTTGCCAGCGAACCTGCGAGCCACTTGCCAATCCACGTGTGACCCTACTGGAGTGCTTGAACAAGCCCAATTGCTGGAATCGGCTGTATCAAGATGCTCACGCACTGGCGAGCTAGAAGCCACCCGTGCCTGTTGCGTCCTCCCCATCCACCCTCACCTTGCGCAGAGAGTGTGTGCTGCACCCCACATGCAAGCAAGTCATGCCTTACACAACAGCAGCAGCTGGAGGGTTGGCAGGAAGGGTGGGACAGTAAAAGCCACGCCAGAAGAGTAACAAAAGACAGGCGGCCCGCAAGCCACACGAAAGCGTGGATTGCATGGCAACAGCCAGCATGCGCACGCGCGTCTTGCGCGGTGCCAGCAGTTTTTCAACTGCGTTGAAGGGGGGCGGTGCCTACCTGCCCGGCTTCGTTTTCGGAGCTGACCTGCATCCCAGGCTGCGGGGAACTTTGCAACACAGGAGCATTGTGCAACTGCAGCTGTGGTCTTCAATGCAAATGGGTTGGAAGCAGTACACGCTGCGCTCGGGGCGGCTGCCATCTCGAGCCAGGCTTGGGAGCCAGTGGTGGCTGGGGCGGCTGCACCCCGGCGCAGCACACGCAGCGGCTGCCCGCGGCGCGCCTAACAAAAAGGATTTGAAAAGCGGCATGTTGGGCCCCAAAAGCTGGGGCTATCGGAACTCAACACCTGGGTAGGGGCGCATCAGTGCGCGCCGTCCCGCACACAGCCCATGCCAGTCGAGCGGCCGCGCGCCTTGGCTCGTGGCCCCGTCTGTGACGTGCGAATCATTCGCAAGCCAGGGCCTGCAACCAAAGAAGGCCTGCACAACCCTAGGGACTTTGGTCTACCCAGCGGTGCGAATGGAAAAAGCCGGCTGGAGCATGGCGTTGCTGGCCAAGCGCTGGGAGGGCACGGTCGTAGCTGCGGGCGTCATCGCAGCACACGCCTCGCGCGAGCCTTGCCACGCCGCAGCACCAGGCGGCCAGGCGGCGAGCGGGTGCTCAAGCGCACAACAGCTGCGAGCGAGCGAAAAGCTGCGCAGGCGTTCCAACTGCCTCCAACCTCCAGGCGTGCAGCGCAGGCCGAGGAGCTTGCCGTTGTCCTGTCACCTGCTGGCCACCTTGCCCTTGGGCACCCACGTCGTGCGCGCCCGCCACACCTCGGCGCCCTTGCCGCCGCCAGCCTTGCGCAGCGTGTGCAGGAACTGCTGCGCGCAGCCGTTGCCGTTGCTAGTGTCCGTGAGGGGGTGGCCCAGCACCTCCACCAGATCGCCCGCATGGCACTCCGCCTTGAAGTCCATCTCCACCTGCGCGGCAAGTCACAGGGGGGGAGGCAGGGGGGGTGACGTGGTGCAAGAAAGGGGCAGGCCAGGGCCGTGGAGAACGCAAGGCAGGGGCAAGCAACCCTGCCGGCGTTGGGGCGCCTGCAAAGCCCAACCGGGCTCCGCTGGCCGAGCGTGTGCCCCGCCACGACCGCCCGACCCACCCCTGCAGCGTCGCGCCGTGCCCGCCCCGCACCTCTCTGAGGTGGTAGCCGTTGTACACGTGCCGCGGCACCGCCTCCAGCGCCCACGACATGTAGCACACGTTGTTTATGTGTCCGTTGGGGTCCATGTCCGTGCGGCGCGCCGACACCACGGGCCCCACCAGGGCCGCGTCTTCTGGGAAGTCCTCCAGCTTGCGCTTTGTCTCGCCCACCGGCAGGACGATCCGCGGCGGCGACGGCGAGAGGTTGAGCCAGCGGGTGCGCACCTCCTCGGGCAGCTTGGAGAGCTTGCGGGTCTCGCTGTTGATGGTCACCCAAGTGCTGCGGAGGCAGGAAGGGGGCCGCCGCGGCAGGGGCGCGGGGCGCTCGTGAGGTGGGCTGCGGTGCAGATGCGGAGCTGGCCGCCTTGAGGCCCGTCGGCGTGGCCATGGCCAGGAGCAGAGGCGGCTGGCACCATGCTGCTTGCTGCAGACCATCTGGGACGAAGCTACTTGTCCTCCTGCACCAGGCTTCGCGACCATCCACCCTGCGCACCTGGTGGCCGCTCCCAAGTAGGCGCCCGTAGTGGCATCAGTGATGTGCCAGTCTCGCCGCGTGCACAACCGCCCGTCCTCAGCAAAGAAGGTCTCCAGGCGCACCAGATCGCCCCTGTCAGGACCGCCGACCGTGTGATGGGATGTACGCGGGGCTTCAGGGGGGCAGGGGGCGGCGTTCACGCGAGGGGCAGTCTTGTGGCGCAACGTGACAGGGCTGCGCTTGGGGCAGTAGCGACGCACTGCCGGACTCACCACTTGGGGTACGCCTCCATGCGGATCTGCATGCGCGTGGCCACGAAGATGAGGTGGTCCATACCAGGCATGGAGGCAAAGCCGCTGTCTGCCCGGCCCCACAGGGCGACACCATGGTTGCCCCCAACTTCCTGCGGGCACCAGGGCGCATTTTTCGGCAAAGGCAGGTGCTCGCCGCTGAGAGATCAAAGCAGGTGTAAGGGCTGCAGGTGGTTGGGTGCACGGTCCCTGTTTTTCACGCCCCAGGGCGATGACACACCCTACGACACTGCATTTTTGGTTCTGGCTCGGCGACCGCAACCGCCATTTGCAGCGCAGGGCGCACTGCAACAATTGCACACCTGGAGAAGGTTGGCCATGGTGATGATGTTTGCATGCTGGTCTGGCCCGCATTCATTGCCCCTGCACCAGCGGGGCAAGCAGGGGATGGGGTCAGAGCCCGGCTTCGCTTGCACACACACCGGCGCGGCGACGCCATGCGCAGGTGCACGGGAGACAGGCTGGCCGAGTGCCACCGGGCGGCGGCTGTCCTGCGGTGATGACATGTGTAAAGCGGACTGTCACCTGATCCTAAACTCCTCGACGAACGACGTGCTGTTGTTCACGAACACCGACGGGTGCGGGGTGTGCAGCACAGTCGCCTCGCAGCTGATCGTCCTCTCCACGGCCACTGCGCCAGCACTCGCTGCCTCCGTCCTTGTTGAGGCGGTGCGCGGGCGCTTGACGGACGCTGCTGCTGGGTGCCAGGTGCTACTGGTGCAGGGCGCTGACTGCACCAGCTCTCGCCGCTGCTGCTGCTGCTGCTGGCCGCAAGGGCCATATATGCTTCTGTTTAGCATGATTGGCGTTTCAATGGGGCCTCTCGCCCGCCTTCCAAAGCGAGCGTTGAGGGCGAGACCGGCCGCGATGTTCTAAAATGGGTGAGCGCCCTTTTATCACAACTATTAAGCGCGTTCAACAATGTATATAGCATGACCTCTTGCCATCGCAAAAAGAACTGCGTTCCCGCCTCTCACTTCCTTTGCCAAGCGCCCCGTCACCACGGCCAGTCAGGTCGATATGTTTCAGACATGTGATGCATCGTGATATAACAATAGTGAGGGCAGCGCACGGCTGTGTTGCAGCGATCCTGTGCACAACCGACACAATCGCTCATCAAGCAAGCCCCGCATCATTGAGCAGCACGCGGTGGCTCTGCACCCAGAAGACACCTGAAGGTTGAGTGCTGGGCATGCGGCTTGAAGGCTGGTCCTATCGAAAGGCGCGTGGAAAGGCGCACGAGGTGGCCGCTTTGTTGGACCGTAAGGTGTGTGTCACCCACAAAGTGTCACGGGACAGTACTAGTCAGAGGGGTTAGTCTCCCAGGCTGCTAGGACTGGGCCTTATCTGTCGACACCTATCTGGGAGAGCAGCTGCCCAGTAGGCGCCCCTGGGTGACTGGGCCTGTGAAGGGGTCAGGGGCTTAAAGTTGTTGAAGGGTCCCAGTCTGGATTCTTGGATCGACAGCCTGTTACACAAAGCGATACTGTACTGCCGACCCAACAACACTCACGCAAGGCTGTGTTTCAAGCAATGGTTGCAGGTTGCAACCACCAATGACATGATAGCCCGCCTACAACGTACCTGACTACTGACCCACCTTATGGACTTGATTGCTTACACCCAACCTCTCCAGAACTTCAGTCAAATCAATGATGCCAGCACTGCCCCAGCAAGAGGCCGGGCAGCACGACAGGCTTGAGCAGGCACCCACACGTGCATAGCTAGCACTTATGTGCTGTGGTGGCCGAGGTGTCATCATCTTGCTGGATTCCGCGCTTCCCCTTGAGGTCAACGCAGTAGTCAATGATTGCGCTGCTGCGCATGCAGCATTGACGCACGGACGCATAACAAGCCCAGCCCTGACTTTCACGAGAGCTGATGGCGCATGCCATAGATTTATATATTCGTGCCGACGCTCCGTGCGACCACGACGATCTACTGTGCACGTTCTAATCTATGTACTTAATATCCAGCCAGGAACAGAACGGAAAATGGAAGGTAACAGTCGCTGGGAATCCTCGCAAGGGCGTTGCCTTGCATCACGCACCTCCGCCCTTGCCGTGCTGATGCGCCAGAGGTGTGCTGCGCAGGAGTCACCCCTCGACGTTGTCGGCAGCGGCGGCGCCGCGGCGCTGGTGCAGCTGCAGGACTTACAGGAGGCGGCAGCAAACCTGCTAGTGGGGCCATCGGCGCTGCGCCGCAAGGTGCTGTCAGAGCAGACGACACAGGTCGATGACGGAGCGGGCGGCCGTACGCTGTTGATCAGGCGGGAGGTATTGGCCAAGGAAGTGGCGCTGCTCGTGCCGGCATGGGACGGGTGCGCGCCCCTCTACAAGCAGCGCTTGTTGCAGGTGCGGACATTGCATTACAGGGCTGACATGGGCCAGTCTGTCGGTGCAACAGGAGCCGCACCGCCCCGCGCAGCGGCGTCTCCACCAGCCCCAAGCGCGCCTCCTGCGAGGTAGGGGCCTGCTTACCCTCACACACACGCGGCCTCATGCTTGCGCCGCGTGCGGCATCCACGTCGTTGCACGTACGACCCGACCACCCACCGAAATGCGTCCCAGGCAGTGGCTGATGGGTGGGATGTGTGGGGGGAGCTGCTGGGCCCCCCGGTGGAGCTGTCGAGCCAGGGGCAGCTGCAGCAGCTGCTGGATCGCGCAGCGGCAGGGCAGGCAGAGCTGACAGAGGACGCGGTAGAACGGCTGGCAGCCAAAGCAAACGTGGGTGCCGCCACGGGGCTGCTTATCGGCAGAGTCGGTGCTTGTGGGTCGCGGGCAGCGGGTGCATCCAGAGGCTCGGCCATTGGCTTGCCTGCGGAAGCTGAGCAGTCGCCACACCTGGTCCGCTTGATGTGCGCACATCAACCAAACTCCCACAGGCCGGTCAGAGCATGATGGGTGACGGCGCGGCGGCTGCGGACCTGGTCAGCGAGGGCCTGCAAGGGCTGTGGCAGGTCTTGGCCAGTGTTCCGCCACCAGAGCAGCAGCAGCAGCAGCAGCAGCAGCAGCAGCAGCAGCAGCAGCAGCAGCAGCAGCAGCAGCAGCAGCAGCAGCAGCAGCAGTGGCTGGCCTGTGGTGCCCCGAGCGTCGCCCTGCAATCTGCCATCGAGGCCCTTGTGGCAGCCCTCTGCCGCCCAGTGCTTGTGGCTGCGATCCATCTGCCGGCCGCATGCGCAGCTTGGCAGCTGGCACAGCGCGCGGTGCCAAGGCGGGCGCTGGTGGCGGCGGGCGCAGCAGAGGCGCTGCTGCAGTTGGCCGGTTTGGCGCTGCAGCAGCTGTTGCCGCCAGACCCGTCGTCGCCGCGCCCGCAGCAGCATGACGATCCGACAGTGCCCCCACAGCGCACTAACGGTTCGCACGAGAGCGGAGCGGTCCTGTCTGCCGCGTTGGGGGCGCTGGCTGTGCTGGCCGTTGACACGCAGGCGCGGCCCCGCATACTGGCGGTGCCCAGGGCCGCAGCAATGCTGGCGCGCGCCGCTGAGCTTCCAGACCTGCGGCCTGGCTGGCCAGAGCATAGCGGCGGTGGCAGGGCAGGGAGCGAGGCAGCAGAGGGGGGCGCACACGGGGAAGCAGACCCCGCTGCATCTGGTTGTTGCGCAGCAGCAGCGGCGGAGCCAGTCACGTCAGGGCCAAGAGCAGCGGCAGAGCCGGCCGCCACTGATGCGTCAGCTACGGGCGCCACACAGGGCCTGTGCACTGTCGAGCCCCGCGATGTCATGACACATGAGCCCCCTGCTGGTGATGACGCATTGTTGGACGCCTTCCTCATGGCGCACGACCAGCCTACAAACCAGGTGGGCTGCCCGGCCTTTGCGCCGCTGGTGACGGTTGCATGAGGAGAGCCGAGCGGGTGTTGAGCACAGATCAGCGCGTCACGGCTTCCATCAAATCGAGGTGGGCTTGGCAGCCTGAGGCTACACTGACATGAGCCAAGGAGTTCCTCACGTCCCCATGTAACACCTTTGAAGTCAGCACGCTGCGCGCCGATGTGGCGCCCCCTCGGTCCTTTACGCCGCCCACGCAGGCGGCGGCGGAGGTGCTGTGCAGCTGCCTGCTTCGTGACCCCCGAGCTTTCGCCGCGTTCCTGGCGAGCGGCGGTGCGACGCTGCTGCTGCGCCTGCTGGCGTCCGCGGATGAGCACGTTGCGTTTTGTGCCGTCGCGGTGATCGCATCGGTGGCGCGACAAGACCAAGTCAACGCTGATCACAGCGGCGGCACCCGCAGCTGCATCGGTGTCACTGGCGACGCTGCCACGGCTTACGAGCACTGCGGCCGTGCAGGGGACGATGATTGCGGGCCCCTGATGCAGGAGTTGCGACGCCAGGCGGCCGGCTTGCTGCTGGCAATGAGCGCCGCCGTGGCGCGCCACCTGCGAGGGCTGCTGGCGGTGGCCGCCGCCGCGGCATCCGGCGGCCGCGGCGCGCGTGCCAGCGGCGCCGGGGACGAGGAGGAGGAGCGTGAGGGGCAGGCGGTCTGGATGGAGTATGGCAGCTTGGCGCTCTGGGTACTGGCGGAGGCGACCGGGCCGCAGCTCGACGGGCCTAGCTTGGTGGACGCGCTCTGCGAGGTCGGGCAGCTGCTGGCCGGCTGCTCGGCCGACCCCGGCGGCCCCACGGCGGCCGGCGGCTGCGGCTGGCGCGCGTGGGCGTGCCTGGCGGGCGCGGCGGGGTCGCTGGCGGGCCGGCGGGGGGCGCTGCAAGAGGCGCTGTCGTCCGAGGCGGCAGCCGCGGCCGCGGCCGCAGCGACCGCGGCGGCGGCAGCGGAAGCGGCGGCAGCCGCGGCTGCAGCACGGGAGAGGGTGCCCGGCATGCGGCACCGGGCAGCAATGCATTCAACCGCAAGCGGAAGCAGCTCATCAGCTTTGACTTGGAATAATGCGTCTGATTCAGGTGCTGGGCGCCGCAGCGACGCGTCCCAGGAGGAGGGGCGCGCCGCTCACGGGCTGCAGGCTGCGGATTGCGAGGCCGCGACAGTGCCTTCAACCGCAGGGTGCCTCGCAGCCCGCTTGGCGCCGCTCTTTGATGGCCTCAGGGCATTACTGCTGAAGGCTCACGTCGGCCCGGGAGGCGGCGAGGTGCGCAATTGGGTGGTGGGGTGTTTGGGCTGTTGCAAGCCATTGGTCTGGGTGCCTGCGTTGTCATTTTGACCACATGGTGGTTGCTGGGCACAGTGCACAGGCTGCAACAGGGCCGAGGCCGTGTGCTGCCTGCAATGGTTGTTTCGTCATGGGCGGCAGCTGCGCCCTGCCTACGGCTTGGTGGCATGCAAAGCGTGTGCCTGCACGTGCACACGAGGTGCCCACACGTGCACATGCGCACCGACATGCACACGCGCAAGCACGCGCACGCACACACACATGCACACACACACACTCT